TGATGTGTATTCGCCGCCATTGTCAGATCTGAGCTTCTTGATCTTTCTTCCTGTCTGGGTCTCAATCATTTTCTTCCATATATAAAAGATGTCTAATACCTCATCTTTATGTTTCATTGTGTAAACCCAAACTCTCCTTGAGAAATCATCAATGAATGACACAAAGTAGTGTTTACCTCCCAAAGAAGCATTCTTGGAAGGACCCCATATATCAGTGTGAACGTAGTCTAGAATCCCTTTGATACGATGAATAGCGGTACCAAACTTGATTCTTGTTTGCTTGCCCAGTACACAATGCTCGTAGAACTCAAGCTTCCATGTTTTGGCGCCTTTTAATAGGCCTTGCTTTACCAACCCTTGTAAAGCCTTTTCTCCAGTATGCCCTAAGCGCATGTGCCAAAGTCTGGAAGTGTCTGATGCATCATCCTCTGAGCTGGTAGAGACAGCCACTCTCCCTATGATTGTAGAGCCGTCTAGGAAATATAAATTTCCCTTTCGAATAGCCTTCATTGCAACAAATGCTCCTTGAACAACTTTGAGGACTCCACCTTCCACAGTTACTCTATAACCTTTGGAATCCAAAACGCCCACTGAGATGAGATTCTTCGTCAAATCTGGTACGTACCGAACATCTTTGAGAATTCTGATTGTTCCATCATGCATCTTCAGTCGAATTGTTCCAATCCCCTTTGTTATGCAAGCTTGGTCGTTGCCCATCAACACAGCTCCTCCATCAAACTCTCGTAAGCTCGAGAACCACTGCTTGTTAGGACACATGTGGTAGAAAAATCCGGAATCTAGAATCCATTCATCAGACTGGCCATATGATGAAACTGTGAAGGCTGATCCTTCACCATTATCTCCATCTCGTGCAACGTTCACCTTTTCCTCTTTCTTGTCTTTATTGGGACAATCTTTTGCCCAATGCCCCTTCTGGCGACAAGCAGCACACTCGTCTTTTGCAAGACGTCTTATATCTGATGATTTCCCTCTGGATTTTAAACGAGACTTTCCTCGCCCTGTATATCTTCTGTTATTTGTCCTGCCTCTGACTGTCAATGCCTCGGATATTGAGTCCCTGTTTGCAGATTTATCTTTCCTTCTGAACTCATTATTTACCAAGGCGTTTGCAACATCAACATACTTGATCTTTTCTTTACCATACAGTAAAGTGGTGGTGAGATGATCATATGTGTCAGGCAAGGAATTCAACAGTAACAGTGCTTTATCTTCATCATCAATGTGACCATCCAAGTTTTTCAAATCGGTAAGAATTTTGTTGAAATTGTTTAGGTGTTCATTCATCGAAATACGTTTTATAGTCGAAACGAAACAACCTCTTCTTCAAGTAGAGTCGATTCTCAATGCACTTTGTCATGAACTTGTCTTCCAGCGCCTTCCAAAGGTCCTTCGCAATATCATATTCTGTGAAGGCGTACTTCTCCTCTTTTGCAAGGCAAAATCGGATGGAACTGCAGGCCAGGAGATTCCCGTCCAGGTCATCTAGTTTGTCTCCTAGAGTGAAGTGCAGGTTCATCTGGACAAGCATATCTTTAACTTCGCATCTCCACATGCTGAAGTTGCTACTTCCATCAAATTTTTCTACCTCGAACTTAGCATGGGACACCGGGGTCCAATGCCTAGAGTTGCTTGTAGTCGCTGGGTTACTTGTGGACTCGGTTGATCTCATCTCTGTAGATTCTGCCATTGAGACTGCTCAATAATGTCCATCACAAACAATAACGGATGCTTGAAATGCCCGGAACACGGCAAATTCTAAGCTCCCGAAAACTTCACTGAAAATTCGGGTCCGAATCTCAAAAAACGGAATCCGTAGTTGTGTCCGGAATGGCTGATTTAGCTAGGAAAACACTTTTTCCACCTCTCCAAGGACCTTAATGAAATTTCTCCAAATCCAGGGGCCAAATTAAAATTTTCCAAAACTCTGGGGACCTTACTACAATTAATAAAAGTTCAAGGGGCTAAATTGCAAGTTCAGCAAGATTAGGGGCTGAAATATAATATACCAAACTTTCAGGGGCCTCTCTGCAATTTCAACAAGTTCGGCTGACTGGGATTGATGACGTGGCAGATGTGCTAACTTGGCAGTTGAGCTAGCGGTGACGTGTCGACACGTGGCAGTGACTTGGCAGTGCTGAGTGGACGCTGATGTGGCAAGTGCGTTGATGTGTCAATGACGTGGCTGACACCTGGCGCTGATGTGGCAGCTTCCGAAAATAAATTAGAAATTTGTTTGGTGGGGAGAGTTTTGAACCCTTGACCTCAATGCTTCAAACCAAAGGCTCTAACCACTCTGCCAAGTATGAACTTGTGCTAATTTAGTGCACAAGTGAATACTTAAAGCCTTTAGGACAGGTTGCCTTCTTCAACCTTTGCTTCTTCGCTGGACTAAACTTTCCGGCGAGTCTCCAGCGGAACATCGGCAAGCGCGTGAGGACGCGTGAAGTGTCCTCGTGGGTTGGTCTTTCTGGCAGTCATCGTGGTATGTTGAAAACTCGATTTCGACAACTTCGAAATTTTCAGTTTACAGAAAAAGCACTCTGTTTTTCGCACAACAATGCTCTGATACCAATTTGTTGTGCCTAAGAGGAAGAAAACAATTACACACAAGCACACAAGTAAGAACACACAAAGATTTACGTGGTTCGACAAGTCGCCTACGTCCACAGGCAGTGGATTTCACTATATTTGGAACAAAGAATTACACACTCTATAGTTCTCTCTCTCTCTCAGCTCTGTATTCTCTCTTCTACTCACCACACTGAATTCCTCCAATTCACTACCTATTTATAGGTGCAATGGGAGAACCAAGCTCTTCAATTAGCAGCCTTTGTTGACAAAGCAAACAAAGCAGCCATTGTTGACAGCAACCATTGTTGACCGCAGCCATTGTTGACAGCAAATCTGAGCCAATCTTCAACATCAACAACAAGAAGATTTCTAGATTACTCCTATTTTAGAATTTACAATTGAAAATCAACCCGAGTAGAAAAGTTTTGATGTCCAATCTCTAGACAATAAAACTCCATACAACAAACACAACTTGTAATCCATCAAGTGTATAGACTACAAACCTCTTTTCTTTTTTTTTCTTTTTTTTTTTGGACCCACCTACCATATTGACTCCCCAATCACAGGTACACCAAATTTATTCAAATTATCACAAACAAAAAACTAACTTCACAAAAGATTAAGAGCAAAGCCCGCTTCTTATTGTGAACCAAATTCCAAATCCTTGAACATATATTTTGCAATCATGTGTTCCTTTCCTCCGAATTCTTTTTTTTTGATCGGCAAAACAAAGAGACTTCATTGATGTAAGAAAGAGTACAAAGTACAAGACAAAATACATCAATAAAGCAAGGAAAGTGCGAAAGCATCACAGTGGACTGAATCATCCAACTAGGTTGGCACGAAACAGCCCATCCTATCCTTTGCTAGCACCCCCAGAGTTGGTGAGCAACCTATCACAAACAAAAAACTAACTTCACAAAAGATTAAGAGCAAAGCCCGCTTCTTATTGTGAACCAAATTCCAAATCCTTGAACATATATTTTGCAATCATGTGTTCCTTTCCTCCGAATTCTTAATAGCCAAAGCCGACAAGTATATTGAATATATACGTAAAATTACCATTCATAATCAAATCAAAAGATTTTTTAGATATTTTTTCACTCATTGAAATTGCTTTCAAGTTGAAGAACGATCAACCAGAAATCAAAGCATCACATCAAAGTCACACTTTTCTGGAATATCACCGAAAATGGGGGAAAAATCATATGCATAAGCAAAAAATTGAAGCGTGAGATTGGAATGTTTGAGAGGGACGTACTTGAACCCAAGAGCAATGAAGAAAATATCATATATAAGGGGGGTGAAAAAAAAAAAACTTGCACATGAGACTTAGCCGTCAATTTTAGTGCACTCACCCTGAGATCAACTGAAAGACAAGGAAATTTCAGATCTAAAAACTTACTGCAAATTAGGATGACATAGGTTTCCAATTATGTATTCTTTCTCCTTTAAATCAACTGCGTGTTTCACATAATCTAAACATGTGGAGACTATGAAATAAACTATTGAATTCCCTCCTAGGAATGTTCGTATCAGCACCTCCACATTAAATAATCATTTTTATCATCCTTACTCTGTCCTAAGCTAGCACCCAACTAACCATTCTAATTTACTATGTTTACAGAAAAAGAATAGGAATAATACAATGATAATGACGATGAGGATGTTAACAACTATGATCATGATGATCAATTATGGCTCTCACTACATGCCCAAAAGGTAGGACAGTTCCTAAAAAATTAAAAATAAAATACCACATGATACTAAATATCCGTCGGTCTCTTGTTTTATTCCCTAGATTGAATCTAATTCATCAATGTGACTCAATCTGTTTTGTTGTGTCAATCAAATATGATTCCCCTCCTGCAATTTAATAGGCTGTTAATAATCAAAATACTGGAAGCTAAACGAGTATCGTGGATTGCATCAATGACTATTAAGGAAAGGCCCAAACAATGAATTGATACAGAGTAGTCAGACTCATATGTACACCATAAACATCTCATAATTGAAAGACAATGCTTTGCCCTCAACAAAATTTTAACCAGTTGTATTGTCAAAGGAAGTGAATAATTGTATCTGCCCCAATAATTTTAGACGCGAAGAACTATTGCTCACGATCCTTATACACACTAATAAATGCAAGAACTAATTACAACAAGACGGTCATAAATGATCTTAGTGCAGGCCAGAAAAATGCCAAGGAACTCAACTCTCAGTACCACTGAACTGAAAACGAGGATTTCTTCATCCTTTAATTAGAAGAAAGTACTCAATTACCCAATTTTATTTCTCACACCACCAGATTTTATCAAATTATATAGTACTTACAATTATATTTCAAATATTAGTTTATCTAATAAAAGTAAATCGTGATTTAATGGCCAAAGCCAAAAAACTGGCTGGCAAAAACAGGGAAGTAGTTAAAAGATCGCGCAATTGTCATGAATATAACCTGAATCGGTCAGATGCAAAAACTCACATGTTTTGCAGCATTGACAATTCCACTTGCTATTACGTCACATTTCATTATTCCTCCAAATATGTTCACCATAATTGCTTTCACCTTCTCATCGGAAGTCAAAATTTTGAAAGCCTCCACAACCTATGCATCACATACATTTTTTATTTTTATTTTTATTTTTGGTTTGACAAATATCAGCATTCTTCATCAGAATATAGCAAAATTTCTATTTTACATTTTTTATTTTTATTTTTATTTTTGGTTTGACAAATATCAGCATTCTTCATCAGAATATAGCAAAATTTCTATTTGTAAGAAAAAATTGAAAAACACAAAAGCATATGCTTGCACTGTGCTTCAATACAAAGGCCAATCAACTCCTATTAGCAAGATAAGCAAGCATTTACCTGGCCTTCTGAAGCATTCCCACCAACATCTAAAAAATTGGCCGGAGTTCCCCCATGCAACTTAATTATATCCATTGTAGCCATTGCCAATCCAGCACCGTTCACCATGCAACCAATTTCTCCATCTAGGCCAATATAATTCAAATCTGCTTTTGCGGCAGCAACCTGTCAGAAGTTGAAGACACAACAAAAATGATATAAATGAACAGTTATGAACACTTTATACGACAAAAATGACATACACAAAGAGTTATAACCACCTCTGTATGTGTTAGTTACAACTTTTATGTTTCTTCTTTCTTAGGCATTGCTCTTCTGGTATGTGACTATGAATTTACACAACAAAATTGAGCCTAATACTGTTCCAATTTTTGTTTCTGTCTTTGACAAGACACATGTGCCCCCTCATCCCAATTAGGACATCAACCATGCACCTCTCCCTTTGAGTATGGCAGGGGATCACAAGCTAACAGCTGGTGTTGTATGCCAAATTCAGTACGTGCCAAGATAACCAGACCTTAAAATCAATTCTCAGTGTCACCCATTTTCATGTGTCAAATTACAAAAAAGATTATAGTCAAACCTCACGAGGATCCTGTTAGTATATTATTATATGTTAGTGTTTAGCTTTAATAATTAGTGTCTCCTTGCTTTAGCCTTTCGGTGGCCACTTACAGGCTACTTGATGTAACTACTCTCTTTTATAAAGGAGAGTCCTTTGAATCCTGTAAACATAACATTCAATACAGATTCAATATATTCAATACATCAATACATACATAATTTATTCTCTCTCTCTATATTTATTTTAACATGGTATCAGAGCGAGGTTAAGAACCTAATAATTTTGCTTCACCGGCGAGCGGCAGCCTTGTCTTGGCCGCCCGCTAGACCTCTATACATACCTTCACTCTGCTGCCACAAATTCCATAGCGGAACTCTTCTCTGCCTTACAATGGCTCAATCAACTTGGTGAGCTCTCTTCTCTGCCAATGAAGGAATCCCACCTTCCCTGACAAGCAAACCCCTATTCCTCACACTCTCGCCACACAACTGCAACAGCGTCATCACCGCGAACTCCTTCGCTCCGTCAACATCACCGACTTGAAAGGCGGCAAGGTGACGGTGTTTGCGCCATCAGATGAGGCGTTTACGGCCGCCAATGTGCCAGATCTGAGCAAGCTATCGAACGCTGCTCCACTCTTCCTTATCCTTATCATCATCATCATCATCTGCTAAACAATATACACAAACACATGCAAGGCCTCTCTCTCGGCTCTCTCTTAAAAAAAATAAATATATCAACACCTGAAACTTCTCTCACTCTCTTGGGCCTGGTCTCTCTCTCTCAATTATTTTCTGAGATGAACCAGAGATGCTGCTATATACAGAGAGCTCTCTCTCTCGATGTGCATGGGAGGTGGGCATTAATTTGAGCTACACACATGTAGCCATACTTCACTCACTCCATGCCCATCCTATACACACACACCAGCAGCAAGCAACTCAACACACTTGCTCTCAGCTCCAACTCGCAATGAGCTAGTACCAGACAAGCACTAGACAGTGGTAACCCTGTTCTCTTGAATAGCAGGGCTGTCAGCACCCAATATGAGCTTAGCACTCAGTTTATGGAAATCTGCCAATCCAACAATGGGAAGATATTCCTTCACACGGGAGCTATCATTAACAAGGATCTGCTCTGCTTTTCTCACCACAGTCAAAACAAGAGGAGCGCGAACAACGTGAGCGAACACAGAGTTGGCACCGAAGCCCGAAGTCGGAGAAGCAAAGATCGAATCCATTTCTGAGGAGAGAACTTAACCTTCGATTGGTGACTGAACTTGGGACTTACCTGGCCTGGCACAGATTGGGGAGAGAGAGTGGTACTTTTTTGTGCCAAGGGACAGAAATTATCACATTCCTTATCTCTTTCTTTTATTTTATCCTCCACTTTACACCTCACATGCCTAATGCATCTCCATTCTCTCTGCTCTTTGAAATCTTATTCATTTTATTATTATTATTATTATTATTTTGCTGCCCAGACAACAATCTTCTTTTCCTTTTCCTTTTATTTATTTATTTTTTTTTTTATCTCCTTTTTTGAAACTATAATCATCTCTTCCACCAAAACATCTTTCACGTAAATATCCATCATCTCTTCTTTTCTTTCTTTTTCTTTTCTTTTTATTTATTTATTTATTTATTTTTATTTTTATTCTATTATTATTATATATATATATATATATTTTTTTTCTTTTCTTTTCTATCTCTATCTATATCTATGTCCATTCCAACCACTTTTGATTTTTCACCATTTTCTTTTATTTCATTCCACCAAAAAAAAAAAAAAAAAAAAAAAAAAAAGAAAACACAACAACAACAACCAAAAAAAAAAAACAAAAACAAAACCAAAAAAAACAACACACAACAAAACAAATCCAACACCCACAACAACAAAAGGTTTGTTTTTTTTTTCTGCAGATGGCCACCCGCCGACCTCACTTCTTCGCCTCTTCCGTTGGTCTCTTCCTCTTGCCTCCGTCTTGGGCGTCCCTTACTAGCGCTGCCTCCTTGCTTCCAAGTCCACCAAGCAAGTTGCCTCATCGTTGCTCCTCAACCGCAGCATATGGCAGACCTCCGAATCGGAACATAACGGTGGCCTTCCGTTTCAGCTCCTTGTTTTCCGCCTTAAGCATACATATCTCTGCTCGTGCATCCCTATACATGCACTGGAGCAGAGCGAGTTGGGCATTTACCTGGTGCACCTCACTCGTTCTATTTTGCAGCCAGTGTGACAACTTGGAGACCGCAGCCACTGTCTCCAAGCACGACTTCAACGTAAAATGGTTCGCTTCAATGTTCGATTGTGTTGCCATTTTTTGCTCCACTGACGGTATCGAAAAGTTCAAAGGAGCAAAGGCGGCTGCACTCGGTCCAGGGGTGCTTGGTTGCGCTTCCAGGGCGATAAAACTGGTTATCTCTATTGTGGCATCATTCAGGTCGAGAAACAGAGTAAGCGGACCACGGGAAGAAGAATAAGCCATATTAGAGGCAACACAAACCGGGGATTAGGGGGTTATAGAGTGTTTCAGGGTTTACAGCTCTCAAAGAACGAGGAGGTTTCAGCTGGTTTGTTGTGCACAGCCTCAGCCTTAGCCTCGGTTTACATAGACAACACAAGGAGCACAAGCCGAGGCGAAACGACGCTTTGTCGGTCACGCGCATCGCGCGCCGCTCGACGCCATCATGTCGGGCATGCCTTTTGATGGATTGGGCACGCCTTTTGAGGGAGCGATATATCTATCTATGTATATCTTTTCTGCTCCAACGGTCTGACACGACCACACAGTGTCTTCTACAACGGTCCGGCATGACCCCGTAAACTATCCCGACATTGATTCCGGTTAGCTTCTACATCGGTCCGGCATGACCCCGTAAACTGTCCCGACATTGATTCCGGTTAGCTTCTACAACGGTCCGACATGACCCCGCAAACTGTCCCGACATTGATTCCGGTTAGCTTCTACGTCGGTCCGGCATGACCTCGTAAACTGTCCCGACATTGATTCCGGTTAGCTGCTACAACGGTCCGACATGGCCATACAGTGTCTTTACCAACGATCTGACACGACCATACAGTGTCTCCTATCCTATTTTATTTTATGTATTAGTTTATTTTCCTGTTTTGTTACTCTCTCCAAACTCAAGTTGGTTTGTGCCTATCCTTCTTAATTTTGAGGGGGATTGTTAGTATATTATTATATATTAGTGTTTAGCTTTAATAATTAGTGTCCCCTTACTTTAGCCTTTCGGTGGCCACTTACAGGCTACTTGATGTGACTACTCTCTTCTATAAAGGAGAGTCCTTTGAACCCTGTAAACATAACATTCAATACAGATTCAATATATTCAATACATCAATACATACATAATTTATTCTCTTTCTCTCTCTATATTTATTCTAACAGATCCTCCTGCATAGGATCATGAAAAGCAAATATCTCCTTTTGTCGGAAAGCAGCATTATCATCAAAGTTCAGCTTTGCATCAGCAGCTACCAACTGTTTATCAGAAGTTTCTGCAATTGGATTGATCTGTCCAAATGCGACAAAGTTCAAGCTAAGATATTAAAAGAATAAAACCCATCAACAATTAAATTCAAGCAGCTCATGACAAATATAAGCTAATGCTTACTTCCAACAGTGTACAGTCACATTCACAGAAAAGTTTGTATAACTTCTTCACTTGTTCTATTGAGACATTTTTGTTAGCCACTGTGGGAGCCAATCCATCTACAACCTTGGGAGCATCTTCATCTGTAATCCCCTTGAAAACATCAATAGGGAAGGGACCTGAGCAGAAAACACGTAAACAATCAGTTCTTTGCAAGTAAAATGAATACCTCTTGAAACAACTCATTGTTGATGAAAGTAAGCATGTCACAACCTTTATAATCATGTCAGGGAATTTCTCCGCAAGGTCTTCGATACTGGTTCCTCCCTTTCGACAAGCAATTAAAAGCTGGAGAACAGAATACGCCCAACAGCACCTTACACTTTACAACATCTTCCAGGCAATAAAAAGGAAAAATATACAAAAATAGGTAATTTAAATCAAGTTAATGAACCTATAGCTACCAATCAAATAGGATCTCATTCAAAACAGCCGTGTAACTTCACAAACAAACATTTGAACAGGACCCAACAAAATATCAAGGCAGGCAGCGGTTATAGTTTCTGACTGATTAAACAAGGATTTTTACTAAAAAAATATATCCAATCATGTTAATTTCAACTCTCCTTCTCTCAATTGATGGGCATTTTAGTTAATTTCAGCATTGGATTCCTTTACCAACTTGGCATCATTTTGTGCCTGGCTTATAGATGATCAATTGTACAATTTTTGTCCTTCTGCCTTTTCTAAATTTGTACACATAGTTAAGTCTGAAAAAATGTTGCCTCTAGACCTCTTGGAAGTACAGCTGCAACTGCTGCGTGTTGAACCAGAGCGACCTGAGCTCAGCCCAAAAAACAATTGGGCCTAGGCAAACTTTTTAGGTCTTTGGGCCAGTCTTGGGCCGGGATTGCTCAGCCTAAAATATTTTTGAGTTAGGCCTAGGAAAGCAAACTGAGTCCAATTTTTAATATATTATATATGTATATATCACAATATACATCTTGTGTCTTTCTTCCAAGTTCCTACGATTGGATAAATGAAAAACTTTTATTTTTTTCCCCAGCAGTTGAATTGTAAATAGAGATACAAAAGAAAAGGGTTTGAAGCCTATCCCCCCTCTCTCCTTCTACCCTCCAACCATCACACCAGCAGTGACAACACCACCACAACCATCACACTAGTACACCTCATCACCCTCACCACCATGACCTAGCCTCCATTGCCTCTTCACCTTTAGCCTCCATCCCTTCATATCTCAATTGTCTCTCAATCTCACCTTCAATCTTTTTGTTTCATTGTGTGTGAATGCATGTATAAATAGAGGGAGTGTGTTTCATCTATGTATGTAAATCGTAGTTAACCTGTTCTGTTGAAGATAGTGCATGTAATCCTGAAACAGATTTACAGTCCAGCAGATCAATAGAGGTTTCCGGGAGTGGCAATGAAGGTATGTTGGTTATGGAGGGGTATGGGGCCAAAGTCTTTTGGTGAGAAGGAAGGGGATTTTAAGGAGATTCATAGGGCTCATTTATCTAATGTTCAGAAATCTTATCCAGTCTCTGTGTCTCCTTTGGCTGTGATTCCTCTCGGTGGGGTAGAACAGGAGATCTACAAAAAAGTTATATTAGAGGATTCAAAAACAAGTCATTTATTGGGCTCCATTTGACCTGTGAAAATCAAGAGGAAAGTGTGAAGAGTGGTATAGGTAACTCAGTAATTTTGAGAGGCTGTGCAGAGGGGGATGTAGAAGATGGAAATGGTGAGGGGTTGGTATCTGGGTTAGTTTGTCAATCCAGCAATATGGGGGCAAATATGATACCCAAGAAAAACATCAGTGCTTTTTTCTTTTGGTATTCTTGGAGAAGTTTAGGATGCAGAAGTGGTACAAAGAGAAGCACCCAAATAATAATTCATCTTTTAAGGTTAGTAGGTCTGCTTATAGTTGCACGAAGTGGGAGCGGGAGCGGGAGCAGGAGAGGGAGCGGGAGGAGGGATGGGGAAGCAAGAGCCCTATAGAAGAGTTTAAGGTTGGAAGGGAGGGGAGCAAGGAGCAAGGTCCCCTCTCCATTGGAATTTCATGCTACCAAGGGTCTGCTAGGAAGAAATAGAAATTGATGTCTTAACTTGTGAAAGATATGTGGTAATGGCAAAGAAAAGGAAGGGCAATGAGGGAGAGATGTTGGGATCAATAGGCTTAAGGGAAAGGAGGAAGGTTGTGTGGAACATACTGTTGGGAGTTTGGTTGATAACAAGGGTATGGAGTTCTTTTTCTGAAAGGAATAAGCAGTCCCAATCTTGAAACGGTGCGACACCCAAAAGGCTTGTTAATGCCTTTTCGTTTTCATGAAATAGTTCAGGAGACAATTAATGTGTGGTGCTTTATTCTAAGTGTAATTCAAGGGTCATAGAGTTTTCATGATTATTTTCATGAAAAGTTTTTCATGATACCTAACATTGCTGATCTTTTATTGCTATTAGTAACATTAGTAGAGCTAAACAGAATAAATGAGAAAACTTCTTTTGTGAAGTTGGTGCAACATTGGAGCATTTCACTAGTCAGCAATAGATGTATTTTGGGTTGTACAAGGGGTCTATCTTGGGTATTTTTTCTTTTTCCTTTTCTTCATCTTTTATTTGGTTGTACAAGGGTTGTGCCCTAAGTCACCGATCCGTTGAGTGGGAGTGGGAGCATGAAAGCTCCATTAATGAAAATATCTCAAGAGCAGGAGTGCCTTCAAAGCATCTATATGAATATATATACATATTTATAAATGTGAGTTTCATATATCAATTGTCTTCATATCAGAATACTTATTGTAAAATTTGTACAGTTCTGAGAGGGTGATTTATAATCTGAAATTGGGCCGAGGTAACGGCCGAGCAAGTTGAGAGCCCAACGGTGCATGGGGCCGAGATGATCGACTATCCGCCCGGAGATGGGCTGCCAGAACTTGGGCCGGGCAGAAATTGGGCTCAGTGTGTGCTGCCCCAGACCGTAAAGAAGCTCGGCAAGGCAGTGCTCGGTTTGATCGAGCTGCTGGATCAGGGGATGGCTGAAGCCAGACAAGCTGAGTGACCGGCGCCCGGAAAGGCGTGGTCAACCGAGGAAACCGTTTGATCGGCAGGAAGGCCGACCACAGGAGGTGCCCCGGGCTCGGCTTTGCCGGGATGCCGCCTAGCCCGGTCCTCCCCGGGCCTAGCCAGTGAAGTGCTTGGGTATGAAGCACAGCACGGCCGTGGATAGAGAAGCTCGACTGCCGAGCTCCAACTGAGAGGGCAGGCAGTTAGGATTAGGTGACGTTCAGCAAGGTTTATGCTGACAGATGGGATAGCAGAGCCACGTGTCGGGAGATGAATGGGAGTGGATATGAGACGCAGAGGGTATATAAGCATGTCTGTGTCCCCCATACGCAAGGAGATGAACACTTTGTAAGGAATTCCTACACTAAAACACTCCTCTCTCTCTCTCTCTTTATCCTAAGGTGTGTGCTAACTTGATCGTCGGAGGGTTTTTCTGGCCATACACCGCCGGGTAGCTCACCCTTATTGGCTCGCAGGTGATCGGACAGAGACGGAGCTCGGAAGAAAGGAGTACGGGCTTGCCGGAATATTTGCTCCCCGTACAATTGGCGCCGTCTGGGGAAGCTTGACAGACAAAACCTTTTCTTCCAGGTTCATCTGATCGCCGTCCATGGCGAACAACGACGAGTTTCCATTGTCTGCCATGACGGAGCTACCCGGAGTTCACCCGAAGGAGAGAAGGTCCTCCCGCCATCCATCCAATGGCGGACTTGGGACGCCCACTGGAGGACAGTCGGTAGACGCGCGGGATAAGCGCGGAAGAAGTCATGGTCATTCGCGGAGTCCAGACGGTCATCGGCGGAGGAGAGACTCACACGCCAGGCGACTGGAAAGTAAATTAAGGGACCAAGATGCTGTCATCCGGCGAATGGCGGCAGAGATGGAGGATCTGAAGCAGCATGTCAAAGGGAAGGGTGTAGCTGGAGTGGGAGACCACAGTGAGCGCACCCATCCTGTCGTTCAGGTGGCCAGAGTCAGCGACGTACTCAGTCCATATCCATTACCAGAAGTTACCAGGTTGGTGATTCCGACGCGCATACAGAAAAGTCTAGCGCGCAAGACAGCACTTACAAACCCACATCCGCTGACGACGTCGAGGTACTCTTACTCCGCTCAGTCAGAGGATTTACGGGCGGTCTTGAAGGAGCGGGCTCGCCGGCGCGAAGCTCAGAGAATACCTGTCTTCCAGCGGCTATCCTACGGGGTTCACGCCAACGAGGAGGTCAGAATGTCTACACCCCGCCAAGCAGTGCCACTCTTTGAAGATACGGACTTGGCTAGGCTGAGTGCCACCCCTTTCCCCTGGATATAGAAACAACACTGCTTCCGACAGGCTTCCCCAAGCCTAAAGTTCACACTTATGACGGAAAAACTAATCCATACAATGCATTGTGAGCACTTCGGGACAGGTTAATGGCCGGACCATAGGCGCAATTATGACAGGATTATGTGCCTAATATTCCGTCAAGTTTAGGCGAGCTGGGCTTAAAGTGGTTCGGAGTTTTGCCCGGACAGGGAGCATATACAGAAGGTGGTATCAGTTGGCGACGCGTTTGTTACACGCTTCAAAACCACACAAGACACCAAAGGAAGTCGATCATTTGCTCAGTGTCAAAATGGAACCGAGCGACACACTTGAAGGTATACAACTCATAGGTACTGGGAAACCGTTCCAACGAGATCTTGGACTGCCCCATTATGGTCAACCTTGCAATCAACGCAATATAAGCGTGGTTTCCCGGTCGGACATAGACTGGCGGACTGCGCTTACGCAATGCACCAGCCGACCTCCATGGCCAGCTTCATGCTAGGCGCATCAAGAGCACATCCGAGTAGAGGATGACGCGTCAGCTTCTACCGTGACGGCCACTTCCGGGTAGCACCAGACAAGAAGACAGCGGCAAAAGTGCACTGCAGTTTGGGCAAGAGTCCAGCCGTCAAAGTGACCGAGCAGAGGAATCGGACCGTGGTTGTCGAATCGTAAAAACCGGGTAGAGGACGTCGGAATGACCGGGAATGACTACCCCGACGATGAGTAGCGGAACGCAAACCAGAAGGATGAAGCAAGGACTGGCATAAAACCCGTCTTCAAGATTCCAATCTATCCGCAACTTAGTGAAATCCGAGATGGGAGTATTGTCTCCGGTTTCCTGCTAAGTGGCGACGGACAAAAAGGGCTACAAATCCGCGGTATCTGTTGCACATTCCACCGGGAGAGAGCCAACCGGACTAAGGATGTTTGCCTTTGAGGCAACACTGAGAAGAGCTGGTTGCGCGGGCATCTAGACCCTTTAACATTGATGGCGGCTGAAGCCGAATCAGGCTCCGGTCGATCCCAGGGGACAGATGACCCGAGACGCACCACCACAGGAGTTATTAATGTCATCACGGCATCGTGGGAACCGGAGCGTGTTTGCGAACTCCGGGGCATGATAAAAAAAGGCAGAGCCATATGAGAAGTTTTTGTCGGTACAGCCTGCCATCAAAGGGGGAAGACTGAAGAAAAAGACGTGATTAGTTTACCTCAAGGGATCTAGAGCGATCCAGACGCCCGCCACAAACGATGCCCTAGTAGTAACACTACGCGTCAAGGACTTTGATGTAAGCGGATCTTGATCGATCAGGGAAGCTCGGTCGAGATCATGTATTATGATGCGTTCAAGCAGCTTAAACTCCGGGAGACAGACTTGGCTCCAACAACTTTGCCACTGGTTGGATTCAACTCGCAACTGGAGTGGCCCTTGGGAAAGATTATCCTGCCGGTCAAAGCGGGATCCGTGGTCAAGCAAGTGGAGTTTTGGGTGCTACAAGTGCCTTCGACGTACAACCTTATCCTTGGAAGGGGATGGCTACACGCCATGCAAGCTGTAGCATCGACTTACCACCAGGTGATGAGATTCCCCTCGGCTATGGGGGCGATCGAGGAGATTTAGGGCAATCAGGTCATGTCCAAACAGTGCTTCGTGGCAGTCAACGGAAGCCGGGCTGCCAAAGGATTCGTTCAAATGATTGAGGGACCGAAGGACCAGGGTGTCTTGGATGATGTGGGCACCAAGGCCGAAGACAAGGCTGTTGAGGAATTGGTTGAGGTGCAAATTGATACAGAACAGCCGGACAAGTTCTTC